GGCTTATGTTGAGAGGCCTTATGAGAAAGAGACCTAGGACATGGTTCCCCACCCACTGTGTTTACTCTAAGACACTTTTATTACATGAAGCAAACTAGGTATTGATAGGGGTCTCCATGACCATCCACTTTTGGGGTCTGGGATCCCCGAACACAACATGGTAAGGAGACTTTTCTTTGGTTGCCAAACTGTCCTTTAACTTAGTTGAAGACTGAAGGCCTTTCAAAATCAAGCCAGCTGACGTGCTCTGATTATAATGCAGCAATCTGAATATGAGCACAAGGGTGGTGTTTGAAAGGTAGTCGCGTGACTGAGTTTGTACAAAAAATTTGGAAAGGTCTGATGAGTCACTCTTGCTGGGCAGCCCAGTGCTGAATGCCAGTGGGACCAGAACTAGGGTCTGGCTGGCCTAACCAGACAAATGGCCTGGAGGCTGTCTCTCCGCAATCGCTGGAGACAAGAGGACAGGCCCCTCATCCTGCAGCCGCACCTGCTGAGACCTACGGCAGAAGGGATAGGCATCCCCTAACCGAGGAGGTCTTCAGAACCTGCAGGCTGCTGGGCCAGTGCCCGCCCACTTCGCTGCCATGAGCCCAAGTCTGACAGATCCTCTTTCTTGCCCACTGGGTCGAGGGAGGCAGCGCTGAAGCTTGCTTTTGTTCTGCTCATATGTCACCAAGGTCACCAGTGACCTTGACAATGTTCCTAAACTCAGTGGTCAATTCCAAGCCCCATTTTGCTTGATCCATTGGCATCATTTAACACAGCTAGTCCCTCCCTGATCCTTGAAACTCTTTTTTTCCTTTCTGTTTGGATTTTTGAGTGCCATCCTCTCTTGGTTCTTATCGACTTCATCCACCACTTCTTCTGTTTCTGCTGCTGGTTCCTCCCCAGCCCCCACCCTTTTTGTGTTGGAAGACCCCAGGGCTCTGTTCACCAACCCACTCTCCCTGGGTGATCTCATCCAGCCTCAATGCCTACCCCTCACATCTATACACTGATGACTCCCAAATCAATATCTGCAGTCACGACCTTCAGACTTTAATAGCCAATGGCTAACTCAAAGTCTTGTGGATGTGTAATAGGAATCTGAAGATGTGATGCATCCCAAACTAAAGTCCTGGTTCCACCCTGACTCCCCAGACTGCTCCTCTGAAGTCTCCCCTGTCTCCACCCTCAGCAACTCCATCCTTCCAGGTCTCTGGCAAAAATCTTTGCAGTTCACCCTTGACCTCTGTCTCGCTTCCCCCAACGTCCGGTCCATCAGCAGAGCCTGCTGGCTCCACCTTCAAAATACAGCTGGAATCCAGACCCTTCTCTGCTTTTTCTCTCCCCATTCATTGCTTCCACTCTAGTCTAAGCCACTATCATTCTCTTGCCTGGATGATGGGCATAGCCTCTTAGCTGGTTTCACTGGACCCTTGCTCCCCAGGGTCTGTCCTCAGCACAGCCTCCCGGAGGATCTATTTAGAATGAAGACCGATCACGTCACTCTTCTGCTCAAAACCCTCAGTGGCACCTCACCTTGTTCGAAGTCAAAGCAAAGTCCCTTCTGTGGCCTAAAAAGCTCAAATGAACCAGCCCCCAACTGACCCTTGATCTCACTTCTTCCTACTCTCCCTCTTGCTGACTCTGTCCCACACTAGCCTCCTTGCTGACCCTAGAACACACCAAGTCCTCCCCCCTCTCCCTGAGACCAAAGGAACCAGACCAAGACCCTGGGGGCCCACATCCACCATCCTCGGTCACCCCACCATCATCATCAGTGGGCAGTGAGAACCAGAGCTGTAACCATGAAGCCAGTTTCCATCCTGGGCCCCCAGGAAGACACTAGAGGAAGCAGTGCAAAGGTGGTCCTTAGGTTCATGTTCACAATGCTCATTTCTTACAGCCAAAGGGTCATGGAGGAAAAAAGTGACAGTTCTTTCCTAATTCAGAAAATATTAACATAAGCACTTTATTTCTGATAAAGATAACCATGTTATTCTATTAACTAGAAAGGGGAAAAAAAAGGGACGGGGAAAGTCAACCCATGCCAGCAGGAAATGTGGATTGTTCTATAGAAGAGAGATCAGCCCTTGGAGGGTGGGTTGAGCAGAACTCCACACTTGGCTTTGAGAGTGTCGAGTGGAGAATGCTGTAGAAATGCCGGGGACGAGTGGGACCACTGTGAAGCGGGGCAGATGTTAAAGAGACACAGTCATTGGCAGAATGGGCTGCTCACGGAAGGGAAGTCTACTCTCAAGGATAGCCAAGGTCCACGAGAAAGCCAGAAAGAGAGGCAGCCAGATCCTAGAATCTACAAACATTTCCAACATGACGACCAGAGGGATGCGTCCCATGAATGAACCATCAAGTCACTGTCCTTAGAGGAACCCCTTCTCCTCTGGCCAGCCACACCAACCCTCACCCCCAGTCCCTTTGGCGGATATTGCCAAGTTCTGTATTTGCAGCCATCGCCCCTTTCACTGTACTTAGCCACAGATGAGCGTCACTCATGTCTTTCCATAAAGAGGAAGAAAGCTTAGCAC